GCGCTCCGTAGGTCCCATGGTCACCTGATGGTGCTAACGCCGGTGGTCCTCGATGATATGGGGCATCACTAGCACGGGCGTCTCTTGCAGTAGTCATGGTTCATCGGATGTACTTTGGCTGTATGTATCGGTGAGAAGTATTGGATGTGGTGAGAGAATTACCAACATGAAGAAAAGGCTGGAGGCTCCCCACATTGTCGGGACAGAAGTTTCGACGCCAATCGCAGCACTTTTGAAGGAAGGTGGCGTCAGCCCAGAAACTAGCTTTTGCATTGCATTAACGCATCAATACTCTGCCTATGAAGCCCGCAGAAGCTGGCACACCTCACGCACGTAGATGTCATCCTGGGTGGGTAGAGGCATCCTACATGGAGATACGAACAGGTTCGGGGATTTTCCCAGTTAAATTGGGATGAACCTGCACGGGAAACCGGCCTCGCTGAAATATCAGCAAAAGAGTCAGTTTCTGGACTTGGAATAATCTTTCGTGCCTGGATCGTGGATATGAGATGTTGGTTCACTAACCCAGATGGGGTAGCATGTTTCGCCCCCTCATGCACATCAGACATTGTTGGTTGCTCTTATTCCCACGCAAGTCATAGCAAACAAAGTCTTCCTCAAGGAATGCCCTGCCGCAGCCAAGACGTGGGTAAGATCGGTCAGCGGAGGAAAAAGCAAAAATAAAAATAAAAGAAAGTGAAGGAATAGCAGCCGGTGATATTGCTCACTGGACCAAGGCTTCATTCAGGTGTGACAATTAGGATGCTGCACAGACTCGAGGGTGTTCCCAATTGGGTACATCTAATATCTTGGAAGTTAGTTGTAATACTATGTAGATTAGCAGGGAGGAGGCTGTGATTGTGGCCACCCTTCCTGTGCCTCAACCGATGTGCGGGATGCTGCAGGATGTCCCTAGCACCGCTTACCTCTCGTATCGCCGGCTAGCTAATATGTCGAGGATACTATCATTCATTACACGCACGGCGGGCAACCGTGGAACAAATCGGAATTGCAGGACTGATGGCTTGTTATTTCCCGTCCCCGTCAGGTCCGTGGACGGGGATTGCTAATGAGAAAACCATGGCAGATCCTCGCCTAACGTTGTGCGTACGCAGGCAGTGTCTGAGCCATTGGGGCCAAACCTAGATCTGGAAGGAAAAGCGAAGCTATCGACTGTGGGGGAAGCAGCCTCCTCCGACACGGCAGGGTTGCATTGCACAACGTCCAGGTCCGACTCCAACGGCGCTCTTCAATTGGCGGTGGATGATGTGCAGAGCTGTGTCGTACCACAGATTCCCAACACTGTCTTGCCGCTCCTCAGCGAGGATGAATGCAGGGACGGAATGACATATTACCTACATGCGGTGCTACGAACAGATAGCCATTGAAGCTTTGCAGACGGGGTAGCATCGGGGACTGGGGACGGGTCTGTCTGAGACGTACCCGGCCGTGGTCGCGATCTATTGTTATTGTTGTTTTTGTTGTTGTTATTAGACTGAAAGAAAACATGCCAATCGTCGTGACAAAACCTGCAGTAGCTCTATTTTCTCCAGCCAGCAAGCAGCGTTACATTGGGCCTTGGCCGACTGGATCAACGCCGGTGGTCTACGCAGAGGAGGGCCACCCATTTAGATGGCCCGAAACAAACAAACAAACAGAGACACCGCAGCCTGGAAGCGTTGCCCACCAGCTCACAGGTATATTCGCCTCATACCACGGGGGTTGCCTCTCGCCCTGGTAGGTCGGCCAGGTACGGACGGGGTTTGTAACACACTACAGAGCACGTATGCACGTATAAACCCAGGATATAGGGCACGAGCTTGCTCTGGGCGTCAGACGACATGAGATCTTGGTAGGGGTCCCTCCCATCAGCGTGTACCTACATTGTGCCTGCGGCATGATGCGCCTTGCTCATGTATATGTATGCAATTCATGTAGCTTATTGGCATGCAAAACGGAGCAGTTCCCCCGTCGGAATGCACGTCTGCCTGCTGTGTATGTAGGCATGTATGTATGTACACATCTTTATGTATGGTGAGATTCCCTTTCCATCCCCGTATATGTACCTAACTCTCTTGTATCCACCTGCAGGTCGCTTGCAAGGGCACAGTCGCAAGTAGTTCCCTACGGCTTGCGGCCTGTAGGAGACGGACCCCAGGCGCTTCTAGCAAAAACAAGGTCCGGCCATGGCTTTCCCCATTCAGACAGGTGCATGAAAGTGACGAGCCCATCATGATTGTGATTTGCAGCCCACCGCTCCAGCACCATCGACACTAGGTATCCGAGCAGTATCGTAGCATCGATTGCGTATGCTGGCGAGCGTTACGGGTTTCTGGCACGCTGTGGTGGCGGATGCTGGTGCTGGGAAGGGGTTCAGCACACACTCACTTGCACTTACAAGCACCTCCACCACTCTCTCCAATGGGCAGTGATCGAAGCACGTAGGGTCCCCGCCCGTCATATGCAAATAAGTTATGTGGATGTGTTGTCGAATCATGGCCAATGGCTGGATAGGGTGTCCTGATCCCCTTTTAGTGGTGTGAGGTGAGAGAACATGTAGGTACTTCAGCCACAACTTCGGACACTGGGCGGCCTCGAGCTGGCGACTAGTTGGTACGTAGCCTTCATGCAAGTCTTGGGAGTTAGCAGACATGTCGACAGCGCTAGCGAGTGCAAGTGGGATGAGGTGCGTGGAACGGTTGGCCGATGTCGACGGTTGCGCAGCGCCCAATTGACTTTGGGTGGGCGCGAGCGCTGGGCATCGGCAATAATAGGACACGAGGGCGGCCAGGAGCCAGCGATTCCCCTGCTTGGAGGCTCCAAGGCTAGCTGAACTCTGTCACAAGAAGCTCGCCCGTCAGACGAGCTGATAGGTGGTTCGGAATTAGGGTATACAGCGCCTTTATGACGGCTGCAGCTCCAGCCAGGCCCAGCCCCCGGGCTAGCCAACGGATGGGCGCCAGAACCTGCGTAATCATGCGCGGGAGGAACCAGTGAGCAGCAGGCGGCTTGGGGGTGGGTTCTTGTTTCCATGAGGTGCATACTCCAATTTCTCGCCCTGTGGGAGCCCCGGCAGCCACAGCACTGAGGCCCAATCACTGGCGCCCGGGCGCCTGCAGCAGGCCGGAGGAGCCACTGAGTCCAGCGTTGCAGCTCCCTAAAATACCACGGTCCTGTCCGCTCCCTGAGGGCTGCCTCCCAGACCACTGCAGCGTTAAGTTACAGCGGCTCCGCCCACTAACAGCACCTGCCCTGGTACTCGTCGGTTTGGGCTGGGGCATCGGCATCATCCCTGCAGAGGCGATCCATCTCGCCCAAAATCTCAGTTCGCAATCTCCAAAGAACACAAGACAAGGTACCGTACCTGTCCCTCGCACGGAACTGCTTTGGTCGTTTCCTGGTCGCCTGCCGCCGTCTCATCTTTCTTCTTGTTTTTGCCTCCGTTGGCGAATCTAGTCCTTCTTCCTTCGCTTGTTTTTCTGGACCGTCCTCCATCCCTTCCCGTCCCGCCGCCGTTGTCCTCGCTCCTCGCCGCAGAGTAGAGCAGACTCGGCCTTGCTTGTACTCGCGCCTACTGGACCGAAACTCACCACACACACGCACCACACCCCTTCCCCTGCGAAACACGGCCAGGACCGTCCATTCGTTCTTCCGCGTCAGTTACAGCATTTCTTGGGGCTACGAACCGATCACCACCGCCCACGACTCGACCATGTATTCTCCGCTGGACCTGGCCACCGCGATCTCACTCTCATAGAATGCTTGCCTGTAGGGTTTCTGCCGACCCGTAGAAGCCCTCAGCAACCATGCAGACGGTTCCAAGTGTAAGTTTCAATCTCCCGCGATGGAACCTCACTAGTCTCAGTGACAACTTTGTTCAATTTTAAACTTGACCCTCCCCGCCGGCTCCTCCTCCTCCCTTCATGATTGATTTTCACACGCTCCTCTCGTGTATCCCTTCCCCGGCCTTTCGCTCGCTTGCCCGCCGCGAAATCTGGAGCTAATCTGAACCTGTGTAGCTGGTGGGAGCCGGTACTGCGATTGCTGCTGCGGCCAGTGGCCTGGTCTTTGGCGAAGTTGTAGACGCTCCCCCCTCCACCGGACGGCCAGTGTCGCACTCTACGACAAGACTACATAATCAACAGTCGTTTTCCACTGCACCAACTCGCCGTGCATCCTTTTTTCGGCCTGGGACCAGTTCTGCCGCCTCTACCTCTGGAGCACAACCGCAGCAACACTCCGTACCACCGTCCCCCGTTGTTTCAAGACCTCCCCTATCTAGATACCAAAGACCGCGCTCTTCTCAGGTAACTTCCCCAGGCAATCCACGGTCTAGAGCACCCTCAATCAAACAGGGGGAGTCCGCGTTTAACACGATACCCGAGACACCAAGAGCGTCCTTCTCCTCTTCAAAGTCAAATGCCTCTTGGATTAGGCGACTCTCCCTTCGTCCATTGTCGCGACAAGGGAGCCAAAGGTCAAGCATTGGACCCGATTCGACACCGACTACTTTCCCCCATGCGCCCAGTTCGCCGGTGCTCCCTCAGCCATCCGCATTTGTTACGCCGCACCAATCAGGCAGGTCTGTAAAACGAACACAATCTAGCACAAACGACGAGCGTTCCGTGGACACACGATTGCGATCCAGATTCAACTTCGCTGGTTTGAGGCGCCCCGCCACGAGCGACCAGAGGTCTGAGACGCCGCAGTCATTTCGATCCTACCTAGATTCTACCTCTTCGCCTTACGCGAGGGATACGCCGAGCCCGGCGCAGGACGTCCGTGGTAGCCCCCACCTCCTCCCCTCACCACTCGAGAGAGGCCTGGAGTCGTATCGCAAGACTGGTTGGAGGTCCTTTTTCCATTCGCGAACGAAGCGCGACTTTGCATTGAGCCCCGGTCGACCATTGGAAAAGAGTCCGCACTCCTGGAGCACAAGTACCAAGCGGATTCTGATTGGGGAGAACAGGCGTAGAGGCGCTTATCTGGTCAAGCCGACAATGGTGTCGGGTGCTCCTGGCACTTCTCCACAGCCCGAGAAACATCGTCCCGTTACAATAGACGAGCGACCCGACCCATTCTCGGAATCACACCAGTCTGAAGTTTCGTCCGTCGATGACACACCCTCGAAGCGAGCTAGGCGCTCAATTTCAATGACCTTTGTTTCAGCAGGCAGTTGGGTGTCCCGAACGTCAGGTAGCCTTCGTCGACCAAAGCGTGATCTCACACCAAGGAGAGAAGGACACCGTCATGTTTCCGAGCCTCTGACAAGCTCACGACCAACATCAGCTGCAACCCGGCGTATTGCGAGTGCGAACCAGGAGCCACCAATCAAACCAACCCCTCTTAGCAAGGAGACACTGGGCCGTCTCCCAACTGCGAATTCTCAGCTTTCAGTAAGAAAAAGAAATTCTTCGTCCCCAGCAACCCCACCTTCCAGAGTACCGAGTTTTCAGGTTGAGCTGGCAAGACTAGGGTCTGCCGGTGGCCCTTATTTCCAACAGGCTGTGAGGCCCAATCAGCCTTCTGGAAGCTCCATCAGCTCCACAGCCATGTCGCAACTGAGATCACAGCCCAATGGGAGAATTTCCATCGTCGACAGCTCAGACTATGAGCCCAGGGACTTCATGTCGGGAGATGAGGAAGATACGGATTTCAAGAGTGATACCATGTTTGACTCAATTCGCAGCACTGTTGCGTCTGGTCGCGCAAGAAATGTCGAAACCCCTCTAGATTCGATGTATGATGAGTCTCCTCCCAGCACCGCTGGCAATGGCAGAGCAAAGCGCCTGTCGATTCAAGAAATCCTGGGCCACGACTGGGATGCGAGCAATAAAATTATGGAAGAGGACGAGGCGTTCTCTACACCTGTGCGTACTGCAGCTCCTCGAGACCAGCCAGCCGAACCTCGATTTAGCACCGACTCATCTGGACATGACTACTCTCTTGCCGCCAAAGGACTTGGCCGTATGTCAATTGATGATGACTTTGACGAAGACTGGACGAAAGATGTTGATGGTCCATTCAATGCCCTGTCCCCACCCTCCAAAGGCAGCTCGGCCAACTCTAGAAAAATCAACCCAAATGTCCGTCTTGCTCTAGCTAACATAAGTGGGAATGGTATGATTGAGCATGGGATCATGGATATTCGTAATGAACGACCACTGAGCAATCTGTTTGACTGGAGCGAACCGTCTGTTTATGCAAAGCAGGACCTTAGCAAACCCTCTGCGCGTCCGAGAACGGCATACACGAACCAGGAGACAGATGCTAGAGGCGGTCGTCCTGTTGTCCGTAAGGTACCAGCCCCCACTCATGTCCGAAGCCAGAGTGTGCCTGTTGTTCATGAGCCTCCCGAGGAGTCCAAATCTACAGGGAGCAAATACGGAACTTGGGGAATGGGTTCCAAACCCATCAGCGAGGACTGGGATGACGACTTCGAGTTCAATGGGAGCCTCGGAAGTGGCAAGCACGCTGATGATTCCTTTGCCGTACCCGAGTCAATCCAAGCTTCACAACCCAGCGTTAGGGCGCACTCTGGACAAATTCGCGAGCTATCACTATTAGTCAACGATTTGCAGCGTCTCTGTCGACACGGCCGAGATATGGATATTCTTAGAGGCCCATATCATACCTTGTGGAAGGAAGCAGAGGGCATCATCGCTCTGGCATCTCCCGATGATGATGATGCCATGGAAGGAGACAAGGACGCATCTTCCGTTGATGGCTCTGAGACAAATGAACGCTTTTTCGACGACGGTTTCGATGTCGCATCTCTGGACCGGTTAGATGCTGCTCTGGATGGCCGTGAGCCCACCATGTCTAAGACGACAGTTGTCCGAGACCGACCGTCTCCTAGGAGACGTTCTGTCTTTTCTCCCGACGATGATATCTTTGGCGGAGGTGTACCACTATATGATGAGCCACGCACTCGGACCAGCCGCCCTATAACACCGGAGGCCAAACTGAGTATTGCGCACGACGTGAATGGCGTTGTGCGAACCGTCGTGGAGGCCATGCAACAATCAGCTCATTATGAGCCAGTATTGGAGACTCCCCCTCCCAACAAGCGTATGCATTTTGACACGAACAGCCTCAAGGTCCTCGTTAAACGAGCGAGCGACCTACGAGATATTCTATCAGAGTTCATCCGCAAGACCGACCAGATCACACAGAGCCCTGTTCGAACCCCAAGACACGAACGATATCCTGAATCGAGTCCCGCTTTTACACGGATGTTTGAAGATCCCGCTTCAAGCCCACCCCGTCGCATGAGTAACGTTTCTGATGATAAATCACCGCAGCATTCGCCTTCTGCTGGCCTCGGCCGGCGGATGCAAATGATGAAAGTTAAATAATGGCGCTACACTGGCATGGAATATTTCCCATTCCATTTTCAAAAATTTCCCGAAACTCTCTTCGGTGTTAAGAGGAGCACTGTACAACAACTTCATGTTTTATATTTCATTTGTTTGCATAGCGACGGTCTCTCACGATCACAAACTTATGATTTCCCGTTTTGTCATCAGTTTGGCCCAATAGACGAAGGGAGACGGGCAGCGGGCGGCTGCCGGCTGTCTCGCAACGCCACCTCCTCACTGTCTGTGCGGCGCCGGGGTCTCCTGTGCGTGTAGGAATAGAGGTCCGGCTTGGCATCTGGGGAATTCTTTCGAGTCTCATATTATGTGAACCACAACACGGTCCACCATCACCATTACATTATGTCTTTAAAGAAATTTGGTAAACGAGGGGCTGGGAGAGAGGAGGTAATGCTTCGGATGTGCTGAGTGGCACGGTCCACATGAGAGAAATGGGAAACAGGGAAAAAAAGAGAGCCACAATGACGGAGCCAAAATTGGTTTCAGTACTGTGGTCTCAACGTCGTTGACGAGGATGGGCATCGCCTTTGTCGATGCCAAGTGACTGACCTGGACACGCTTTTTCTTTTTTCTTTTTACGAATGTTCATCGGCGCTCCAGAGGCGCTTGAAATTATGAGTTTTTTTTTTCTTTACAGGTACACGAAAAAAAAAGAAGAAGAGAAGACAGAGAGGCACGGCCGGAATGGCAAAAAGCCTTAGTTTAGGGATTGGATCATGGTTTTCACGGTACTGGGGAAGGGGAGGGGCCATTTGGGAGCTCCACGTAACATTGGCGCATAGTTGCTGCTTTTTCCTTTTAACGAATGCATGGATAGAGTTTATGACAACCAACCAAAACGAATCGGTTTCTGGAAGATGCATGATTGTGATTTTATTAATTTTTCTTTTTGCTTAATGAAGTACAATTTTGCTGAGAACTGCTGGCATGATTCATTTTCGATCCTATACGGTGAAACGTTTCACTTCAAGAACTTGGATTTTTTTTTCTTATTTTGAATTTTCATTTTTTTTTTGTTTCTAATTATTCTTCTATTTTCTAATTACAAAGCCAAGTGATCTCCTGGTATATAAGATGTAGTGATACGTTCCAGATGTGTCAGGTCTACCCTTCCGTTACTTGGTGCGCCCACACTTTTCCTCATGGGAACTTGGTACATTTTCCCTTTGCCCCGACTCGTTGGGATGCCTGGCACTGACTGATTCTCGCCGTTGTTTGGGGGTGCGGCCGAGATAGTCCATCTGCTTGGGTGGCGTTTCTCAAGGCCCTCATCGCTGTCAGCATAGACGAGAGGGACTTCGATGACGCTATGGTCGGAATCGCCTGAGTCAGGTGGTGTGGGTGAAGAAAACTGATCCGGTCTGACAGGGTACACGGTGAGGCTAGTTGTCTTGGTGACCCTTGGAGAGTGAGAAGCAAGTAGGTTGGCTGGTACAACAGTCAGGCGCGATGATCTCGGGTTATCTGCCAGATCTAGCTTCTCGGAACGAGCGCTTGGGATGCATAGAGGTTCAGGGGTTTCGTCGAATTCGCTGCCGGCAATTGAGTATGAGGGCGAGTCAACGTCGACTACATTCCACATGGTCTGCCAGTCGCACCTAGAGGCACTGACATCGATTTCATCATCGGCGTTTGACTGATTGGTATATGAAACACTGTTGATATCTTCCTCCAATTTGTTCAGTTGTTCTTGAAGCATCTCAAGCGCGTGCCCCGGCGATTCCAGGGGCGACGGCTCAGCTGCAAATATCCACGAAGGCTTTGGTGGTTTGGTAAGGTCCAATGCTGAAGGGGGAGGTGCTCTGCGATTTTCTGGCATCTGTCGTCGAAGAGTAAACGTTGAACAGCGGTCTCCAACTCTGTAATGCCACAACGGGAAGGTAACTCTGGGCACGTGTCTCTCGGAGATCGAGTCTTCCATCTCAGGCTGAAGTTCATAGGAGTGATCTTCAATATAAAACTCCTCTGATGAGGTCGAGTCATCCTCAGCTACGGCATCGCCGTAGATATCTTCCTCATCCCCAATCCTAGGTGTAGCGCTTGGCCTTGCGGAATGCATGACCTCAACTGCTCTGACTGGCTCTAGGCTAATTCCATTAACTGCTGAGTGGATTGAACCCCAATTTGTGGTGATATCGTCTTCTTTCCATGCCCCTCGAATTGTTGATGGCACTTCAGAGGTTCGCTGCGGGGAAGGAGAAGGCTGAGGGAAAACGGCCAACGCCTCGACTTTCGGTGACAAGTAGGATGAATACCTGGATACAAGTTTGTTTCTCGAGGCGTAGGAGTTTCTGTCCTGCTGATGATTGCCGATGTCGCTCGTGTCTCTTCGCGCCTGGGAAATCCTCCGCCGCTGCGTCGCAGCTTGGCAGATGGTTACTTCCGATTCCATGCGAGTCTCAGGCACTTCGGGCAAGGACCTCGACTTCCGTTTTTCTGTTACAGACAGGCCCTGGCTACCTGCTGGGACTTGGAAAAACTTGCCCATTTTTTCCTCGACCGTCATTGAACCTGTCCTATGTAGGTGTGCTCGAAGAGATTCCCTACTCGGTTTTGCAAGTAGTGCAGGTGTCGTTTTCTGGGCCTTGTTATCATGGGAAGAAGTTGACTTCTGAGATCGAGCTGAACTACAGGAGTGAGATCTCCTTCGGGAAAGAACTGATGGCTTTGATCTCTGCAAATCTAGCGCTTGTATGTGTGTCATGTCTCTTTGAACAGGTCGGGGTCTATCGACTACTGATTCGGATTGCTGGGCGAAAGGGTGTTCATGCAAGTTGGGATCCTTGATCTCATTCGTTGGTTCCGAAACACGCAGAGAGGGATTGCTTTCATCTAATGGTGACACGGGAGGGTAAATTTCGCGGCCATTTGCAGGTGAAAGAATTTGAGCCATATCGCCAGGGGAAAAGAAAGTGAGCTTGTCGGACTCTCCAGTAGGTGCTAGATTGAGTTGTAATTGAAAGTTGTCAGATGCGATGGAAGATGATTCCTGATCGGGGGATGGAGGCAAAGGCTTCGAATTGCCATCGTTTTGGGGTTGATCGACCTTTGGAAGTCTCTGAGCCTCAGGAGAGCCTTGAGCTCCTTTCGTGAAGTACTGGAAGGATATCGATGGTGGAGATACAGAGCCAGCTGGTACGTGCCCAGGCCATGCTGTGAATGTGGAGCTGGCGCAGGTATGTCGATTGATGTTGTTTTCAGGAGGTTGCAGTGAAGAAGGGAGTGTTTCGATGTTCTTCACTACAGGGCTTGTCGATCGTCGAATGTCTTCTGATGGTTTGTTGGTGTCGGTTTCCGCTAATCGCTTTCTCTTGCCACGAGCAGTTTCTAAGAGATCCCAGGTGTCCGGTCGCACTGGGATGTTCTTTTGCATGACGCGGCCCCTTTCATTCATAGTTTTGGATCTTGAAATATTAAGAGGTGTTGGGAACATGTTCCCTTTCAACGACGGTGGATACAAGGGCTGCGAGGAGGACCTTTGACGCAAATCGTTCTGGACTGCAAACTCTAGAGCAGTCCATGAGGCTCTGACATCTTTGCTTTCGGTTGAGGTCGGCTCAGGGACAATGCTTGACATGAAGGCTATATCGTCGTCGATTTGCGGCGAGGTGGTGATAACAACAGGGATGTTGTGCTTGATGTTGGGTGTGCCAGAGGACGAGGCTTGTGAAATCGAGAGATCGTGGGCAGAATGAGACTGAAAGTTTCGCGTATGTGTATCGTGTAACCCGGCAGGCCCCTTTTCGATATCCCATGGGCCTCCTGCGAGGTCCGCAGCCCCGGCTACATTGAAGCTGGAGCTTGAAGAGTCTACCGCAACATGACGGGTAGCGACGACCGATTTCTCTTTCATTTCATCATTGTTGTTTGAAGGAGACATCGATTTATCCCAACGCGCGATAGGAAGCAAGCCTGGGTTTGGCATACTATGTATTTGGGCAGACACTCGGAGCACCCTTGCTGATGCTCCGTCAAGAATTTCTGGAGTCATATCGCCTGGTGCAATAAGGAGGGGATCGCGGAAGAACGAGACAATGCCTGCATTACTGTTAGCCTGACGGGGCACACATTGCAGTGATATGAGCATACTGATGAGAATGAACAGGCCTAGTGAAGGCAGTCCGGTGCGTAGAAGCAGAGATAGCGAGTCAATTCCTAATTCCAAAGGAATGCTGAACTGTGAGAGTTGATTAGCGATCGATGTTCTTATGCATCAAGATAGTACTCCACCTACCACTGTCCATAGACCAAAGCCAGCGATGCTCACAGCTAATGATCGACTCCTGTAGATTTCCCAGTCTCCGTTGAGTTCCTTCCGAGCCGAGCCAGTCCAATCGAGTTTCGCGAAGAACAGAATGATCAAGAGCACATCGACACAAATGACAGTAATACCGAGAGGCAAGACGAGGGTCTGAGCGATGCAGACACCCACAAACTGTGGACGTTGAAATCCGACAAAGACTGCAGCAAGGATGAACCTCACCAAGAGAACGACCTGGGGTAACAAAGATTTGAAAGAAAGGGTGGAGGAGGGAATGATTTTCCAGAGAAGGAACTGTTCGAAAGAAATGCGAGCAACCTGATCAAAGGCGACGGCAAAAGCAAGGGAGGCCTGGCAGCCAGATGAAGATGCGACATTCATGGAAACGAAGCCCAAGAGCCCCCACAGACCAGCTGCGACAGCGAAAGCAAAGAGGGCCAGCCTCACGCCGTCGCGGAACAGTAACGCCCCATGTCTCGTAATGAGGCCTAAGCTCAAAACCAACGCCGCATTGACGACGATGCCACTAAGGATCACAGGATTAGCTCAGTGTCATGCGGGCGGACCATGAAGCCACTGCACCAGCCAGACAGATTCTCGGGACGTACAAGGCGAAAGCGGCGATCAAAGGCTGAGCATCGATTATTGTATCAGGCATGGCAGCCGTAACAACGCTAGCCAGCTAGCTAGACGGCGACCAGAACCGAATGGTGATGTT